ATTCATAAAATCTATGACAGTAGATTTTGCGACATTTGTACGTTTAGCAATCAAGCGATATTTAGTCGATGGATACAAAAAAAAATTCACAACTTTTTTACGCAGCTCTTTGTTTTTTTACCATTAATTTCCGAAACATTTCGCAAATCATTGATTTGTTTCCGAAACATTTCGCAAATCATTGATTTGTAAACAAAAGTTTATCATCAGAATTTAAGATATGGAAGTAACATTTAACTAAAATAATAAAAAAAAAATAAAAAGCATTTTGGTTTTAGAGAAATCTCAATTTAAAGTGACTGGATCTATCCGTGTCAATTTAAAGTTGACTGGATCTATCCGTGTCCACCCTATAGAGTTGAAAATTCTTCTATCATAATATTAAATCTATCCCAAAAAATATTATTAGTAATGCTTTATACCTACATTTATATATAAATCCTTTATGAACTTTGCAGTATATAAAAATGATATTGGTAAAAATTAAATGATATAAAAGTATAACATTATCATTTGATAGATAAAGTACATGTACATACAAATAATACTATACAGTATTTTATTTATGTAAAATAAAAAATTACCTGATAATGCTGGTTTAATTTCTCCAATGAAAAAACCTTTTTTTTTTTGACCTAAGATCTCTTTCTTCATCTCTGTTTTTAATTTGTTTATTGTGTATCATAAACCTATATATATTAAATATCATAAACCTGTATAAATGTATAAAAAAATTAAAAAAATGTACTTAAATATTAATTCAAATTTTATTAGTTTCAAATTAACCATAAAATTCGTAATTTTCTCTTGGTTTCTGCTAAAAAGATTCTATTTGGTTAAAAAGTACTTTTTTAAATTTTTTTTATATTGTAAAGTATTAATGTATAGTTATTATGATATAGATAAAATCATTGGTATTATTAAATAATTGATCAAATTCAAAATAAAAAATCTTGAAGTATTTTACTATTTTAACAATTTAAGCTGAAAAATTCTTTTTTTTTTTCACATTTTTAGCACTTTTTATCATACAAAATAATGCAAAAGCAATTTTATTATTTCTTAACTATCTTTTTTTTTTGAAAATATATATCCATGCTTGTTTTATAAAAAAATTTATATCTAATATATATATAAAAAAATATATATCCATGCTTGTTAATAAAAAAATCAGTTCAAAATTTTTGAATTATCACTTCCCCCAAGGCTTCCGAGTATAGACATTTTTTTTGCTCGTTTTTAAAAACTAAATGGGCACTGGGGGAGACACAAAAGTGATCCAATCAGGCTGATATTTTTCTAAAGTCATTTTTAACGCCCACATTTCAAGTGGTAGTATATCGAAATGCAAAAATTTCCTTAAAAGGAAGTGCCCTAATATATTAATTGAAAGATTAATAGCTCTTAGATAATTACAGTATAATATAAATTTCTTGATTTTTTTTCATTTAAGTATGGAATGGCAAGTATATCTTGATGATCTTACAAGAGAAGTTTCTAAAGTTGGTCTTTTAAAAGAATTTTCTTTGATGAAAACTGATGTTCAAAGATTGACTTTTTGTCAAGAACAAAGTTTTATAAGAACCTCTTTAGATAAATGGCTTAATAAAAACATACACTCTGCTCAAGTTAAATGTTTAGACAAATCTTTGAAATTTAAAACATCTGCAGATTCTGCATTTTTTCAACACCTTGACGATAAAGCAATACAACTTTATGGTATGGCTTTATTGTTTTCTCCTCGTTCGGAAGTGTCAGTTTTATTTGGTAATCGATCAGCAGTCTTATTTACCAAAGGATTGTGGGAAAAATGTATTGTCGATATTGATTGTGCTCTAAATGAAGGGTTTTTTCCAGAAAAGCAATGGAAGTTGTACAAACGAAAAGGTACAGCTTTAATGAATTTAAAAAAATATTCGGAAAGCCAATTATCATTTAAAAAGTGTTTAACGGTCCTACCAACAGAATTTTCTGAAGAAAAAAACCAGGTAGAAATGCTGCTTAGTTCAGTCTGTAAATTTGATTTGGCACATACTGTTGCTGTTAACGAAGTTGTTGAATTGGATAGCTTTATTCCTGTAAATGGTTTTGATAAAATTTTAACTAGAGGAAGTTCTTCCATAGAAGTTGGTTACGATAGTAAGCAAGGTAGATATATTTTTGCTAAAGAAGATATACCGAATGGAAGTATAATTATTAGCGAAAAACCTTATGCAGCTGTCTTACTTCCTCATTGGTATAAAACTCATTGTCAATTATGTTTTGATAAAGTTGTTTCTCTATTTCCATGTTATGAGTGTGCTGAAGTAGTATTTTGCTCTTTATCATGTTATAATGATGCGTGGGCTACTTACCATCGTTTTGAATGCAAAAAATTAAGTCTGATGGAGAAAGTAGGAATTGCACATTTGTCGCTTCGAATTGTTTTAGTAAGTGATGCAAAGGATTTATTAAGATTTTTGGGTAGCGATCTAAACAAATTTACTGACTCTCCCACTTTACCTTCTTCAAAAATAGAAGGATGTAATGATCAAGGAATTTATCAAGGTGACTATGAAAGTGTTTATTTTCTCTCGACACACAGCGATAGGCTACCAATTGAAGATTTATTTCAGTACTCTGTTGCTGGATTCTTGTTGTACAAGTTGCTTATAAATAGTTCCTTTTTTAAAACACATACCGTCTTGCAACAGCATCATTTTGGTGTAGGAAGTTTGTTGATTCGACACATCCAGCAGCTTATTTGTAACGCCCACGCAGTAACTTGTCTAAGTGCAGAAAAACTTGATACAACTAGTGTTATAGATCAAGAGCAGGTTCGAATAGCTACTGCAATCTACCCAACTACAAGTCTATTAAACCATTCTTGTGAACCTACCATTCTTAATTGTTTTCATAAAAACCAGCTTATAGTTAAAGTTGTAAAGGATGTGGTGAAAGGCGAACAAATATTCAACTGTTATGGTCCTCATTTTAAACGAATGGGTTATGAAGATCGACGAGCAGCTTTAATGCAGCAATATTTTTTTCTTTGTTCTTGTGAACATTGTGTTTATCAAAATGGTCATAGTAATAAAAATGGTTTTATTTGTTTTAAATGTAAGTTGCCCTTGAGCAATGAAGAAAAATGCACATCGTGTGATACTGATTTCTGCAAAGATATTTATGTTAGCAAAGCAAATCGTTGTGACGAAATATTTTTGAATGCGATGCGTGTGTTAAGTTTGAATAGCGAGCGTCATAGTGTTGAGAAAGCTTTAGCGCTCTTTCTTGAATGTTTAAACCATCAAAAGGAAATTTATATTGATAATCATTTTTTACTATCCCGAAGTTATGACGTTGTTGGAAAATGTTATGCGATGTTGGAAGATTATGAATCTGCATTAAAATTTGTAAAAAATAGCGTCCTCGCAATCAAAACTATTTACGGTGATCGAAGTATAGAGTACACAAATGAGATTTTGAAACTAACAGATTTATTCATGCATGTTGTGCACAATGGTAAAATTACTTATATAAATGAAGCTTTAGATTTTGTAGATGAAGGTATAAAATTAGTCAATTTGAACAAGCAACCTGATTGCTCTGATTTAGTTGATCTTGAACAAAAAAGTGTTTATTTAAAAAATGTTAACAGAAGACATTCTTTTAAATAATATTCCGGATCTTTAATACACACACACACACACACACACACACATATATATATATATATATATATATATATATATATATATATATATATATATATATATACACACATTCTAACATAATACACATAATGATTTTGGATGTTATATATATATATATATATATATATATATATATATATATATATATATATATATATATATATATATATATATATATATATATATATATATATATATATATATATATATATATATATATATATATATATATATATATATATATATATAGAAGCATATGTGTGTGTTAATATGTTTATTTACATGTACGCACACATATACTTTAGTTAACTGAAAAAAAATATTTTTAGATTGACTTTTTAGATGCAAAATGATGTAACTGAAATGAAATAATAAATTAAAAAAATGAGTTTGTATAGCATAATAGTGATTTTTTTAAATTGTTCGTATGCCTTTGAACATCTATCGAAATCGCGATGTTTCTTACGCATAAAGAAAAAAGAATTGTTTATTGACATTCTTCTTGGTATATCATCATGTATTATATTGAATTTAATTGGTGCAGAGAGTCTTGGAAAGCACTTTTTTTATTTTCGCTGTAAAACTAGTGAAAGTTTACAAAACTTGCTAACGTGGTTAATGGGAAATCCTGCTGGATTAAAGTTAAACAAAGAACTTTCCCATTTTCTAGGGAATTTTTTTTCTTGCCATGTTCAGATTTGGATGCAGTATATTGACGTTATTGACGATTATTTTGTTGCAATTGTCACTTTTCTTATTTACTCAAATTGCTTTGGTTTAACGCTTTTTTTATCGCTCGTTAAAGATGTTATAAATGTACTGACTTTACACATCTACTGTTTTTATGTGTATGGTGCCAAGTTATATTCGCTTCAACTTTACGGTTTAATATCTTTATCTCGGCTTTTTATGGGTAAGTTTTTCATTCTAGCATCTTTACCATTTGAATGCGTTTAAATTGAGTTTTATTATGCTTATTATTAAAACACCTAAAATTTACATTTGTCACGTTTAATTGATACTTATGTGTCTATAAAGTAACGTCAATAAGCCGAATCTACCATCTTTTTTTTGACTCAAATTTTACTTTTTAGAAATTGCAAAGCTTGCTTAGCATTGATTAGTTTTAAAAAAAAAAGTAAAATTTATGAACTGACACAATGACGAGGTGATAAAAATTATTCAAATTAAAACAAGAAATAATAAAATCTACATGAAAACAGTAGAACAAAGTCTTTGTCAAAATTGTCAATATTGTTGCGGCTTTTTTAACTGCGTACATAAAACAAATTGTTTACAAACTGTTTTTGAGATGCCTGTCGAATTATTTTTTAATGTTTTCAGTGATTCGGTTACAACTGGAAGAGAGTTTTACTTGTTAACCACTCTAAAAAAGGTTGTTGTTTTTTTTTGAGTAGGATTTAAAAAAAAAAATTATTGAAATAGATACTTTAATAAAAGTGTTGTGGCGTCACTACTAAAAATGTCTACAAGTATTTATCGATTTTTAGGTATTAAATGTGCTTATGTTTTTAAAAGGCTATTAAAAAATGAATGAAAATATTATCAATGTGAATATTTTCTTTTTTTCTTTTTTAGAAGTTTTTTTCTTATTTTAAATAATTCTGCAGTGCAAATGTCAGTTGTCTGAATCTGTGGTTGCTCGTACTTAGAAGAATTACTGTTGCAACAATACTTCATCAGTAGAATAAAAATAACCAGGGAGCGTCTCGTAACGCTCTATACACAGTTCAAGTAGATTCAGGCAATTAGCATTTGTACAGCCGTGTTGTAATGGTTAGAGTTCTGGCTTCTAACTGAAGGTCCATGCTTTGAAATCTGCTCTGGCCATATATGCATCACTAGTGAGGAAGGAGGCGTGAACTTCCTGGTTAAATGCTATTCCGCGGTGCTGTGTGATAATATCGTTAGGACTACTTGGAGCGCCTAAATAACTAATAAGGAAAATAATAATAATAAGACCAGTTGCATTGATTATTTTTTAAAATGCATGTGCAAAAATTAACATGTAAAACATAGTTTTGTTATTAATCCAGCATAGGTTAAAACTAACATAAACTGTAAAACAAATACTAGCATTACACGTATACTTGATATCAATGACTTTTTTTTTGCATACATATCTATGTATATTATGATTTAAATATATACTTATGTTATTATATTTTCTTACTGTTTAATTTATAAAATGTGTATAGTTTTGCAATGCATTGTTTTGCACACATTCAAATTTTTTATATTGTGGATGTCAATCTTAGTGCACAGAAACACAGGACCTAATTATGTCAAATAGGTTAGCTCTATCTGTTTGACATTTTTTTATAGAAATTTTTCTGTTATAAACTCTTAAAATCTTTCAATTAAGCTGTTTGTAATATCGGTTTTTACGAATTATTAAATTATTTGTTGTTTGTGCTGTTGTTTATAACAGCACAAAAATTAATAGCTGTTGTTTGTGCCGAAAAACTGCACAAAAACTATGATTAATAAAAATAGAAACCATCTTGATTGTATTCACCAATCATATAAAAGTATAAAGGGAAACGTTAAATCCAATCCGTCAAAGTGCTGTTTGAATAATTTTTTAAAATTCTAGACCCGATTACGGCATTTGCAATGTGATATAAATGTTATCAAATTGATATTAAACAAAAATATTATTATCAATTACATGATTAATAATAAATATTAAATACAAATGTTATCAAATGTTATTAAAAATCTCAGAGTTTCTTTCATTTCAAAGTACAACTATATTTCCGTTGGAGATCGCATCGGTCAGTAAAATTTAAATTGCACTTGGAAGGATTGGATTTAGTGTTTTCCAAGTATAAACGCTTTCCATTCATATATAAAAATATAACGGAAATATAAAAAACAAAGCAAAAATGCCAACATATACATACAAAATAAAAATTCCAAAAAAAATAAATATACAATTTTAAGTGAGAAACATTTTTCTTGAAATAGAATAAAAATATTAAAAAACTTTTTCTTTTTTTTTTTTAATTACAAAAAAATATTATACTTAACATAAAAAAGTCATAAAAGCAATTTGAATTTTTATTATTATATAGCTTTTTAGTAAATGGTATAAATATAATCGAAACTTCGTTTTGGCTTTTAGAAAACGATCAACACTCAGAACATTTTTTAAATTCTACTTTGTAGTTACTTTCGAAAATCAGTCATAAGAAAAGGAATTTAACCTTAAAAAATTAAACAAAATTATCATGGAAAACACTTATTACACATTAATGCTCATTTGAAAACTCAAAAACGTGAAAAAATAGATAACAAATAAGAAACTTTGTGAGATAATTTTTTTTTTTTTTTTTTTTTTTTTGCGCTTCAAGATTCCAATAATCATTTTAATTAATAGACATTGACATGAAGGTAAGCCAAGTTGTCTACTAATACGAAAAATCACGATAATAATATCAAAAAAATTAACAAACAGCATAATATATTTAAAAAAAACAAGAAATTAGCATGTTCGTTAATGTTAAAGTTATTAGGAGTATAATCTATAAATAAATGTTCAACTTGAATTCAAACTTACAATTATTATGAGTTATCGAGTTACCAGAGTTTATTGTACATATTTCAACTACTAACAGCATAACATACTTGTAAGTATTTCATTGCATAACATTTGCCATTAAACATTTTATGATTATACTAACTACAACTTTATTATGTGTTTAAGAGTGACAGTACACCACTTTAGTGGCAAGGACAACACTCTTTCTCTCGACAAAGACAAGTCACATTCAGGGTTGGGGTCAAATACATATAATTTGTATTTGATAAAAATAGACTAATTTGACGTATTTGTATTCATATTAGAATAAAAATTTCATAAATACTTGTATTTGATTGAAAATTATTTGCAGTTCCGTGAATTAAGTTATATATTGTTTTTTTACTTAATACAAAATGGTTCGTTGTTGTTGTTGTTTTTTCATTTTTAACACCAAAAAAAAAAAGTTTGTTTTTAAGGTAGAAATGAATTAAATGAAATAAATGAAAAATTAAATGAAATAAATGAAGAATTTCATTCTTTTATTTTTATATCTAAATCTTTATTTATATATTTTTTAACCTAAAGTACAAATTTTTATATTTGTATTTGTATTTGGAAAATGCTGGTTGCATATATTTGTATTTGGAAACCTAGAATTAACGTATTTGTATTTGATCAAATGTATTTGACTCTAAACATTATTGCAAAGTACACTGCTTGGCTGGCAATAACAACACTCTTGCTCTCAATGAAGCTAAGTCATATGGCAAAGTACACTGCTTGGCTAGCAAGGACAACACTTTTGCTAAACAACTGCTAACTGAGCCAAGTTTCAACACTTTGAAACCATGGAAACAACATAATAAACACGTAACATTATAACATAACACACATAGAAGCACCTCATATATAACAGATATTTACACATTTAATAAGCATATAATACTTACAAAAAGTAAACACAAGAAAAGAATTATAGGAATTACCTGCCTCTGGAGCTGGTTCGCAGGGAGTAACAGGGGAATGTCGGTTGAAGATGCAATATACGAACTGGATATCAAAGGATGTGCAACAATTGTTGATTGGAATCAAGTTTGCCGAGATGTAACCAGTGGCGGATTTAGTATAGAGCGTGGGGGGGGGGGCAAGCTGCCCCCCAAAGCCCCCCTAGAACGGTCTAACGGCGCCCCCTAAAACAATTAAAATATATATATATATAAGATTAAATTACTGAAGGCAACCCCGGTCGCCCCTATTTATTGACTTGGCCCCCCTCCCCCACGCGACACTAAACCTCAATCCGCCACTGGATGTAACCGAGGAATTTTTCCTAAACAATTCTGGACAACTTGGTGGTATAGACAGTATCGTAGAAATGCAACTATGGACGTATATAACCAGAGCAATAAATATTTGGTGGCTACTGCCTGCAACAAATGAGGTTTTTCTTGTTTCTGTTCAAAATCGCAATGCTACAACTTTGCTGCCGATTTGCCAATAGAATGCACCTGAAACAGAGTTTTATCCTCTTTGAGATCAAATTGCAATTATCTACCCTGTTGTAATTACCCTGTGTAAATCAAACATAATATAAAATTTGCGATGTTTTTAAATTACTCCATTAAGTTGTTAAAAATTGCAAATATGAATATGTAAACTCTAGCGTGTTAAATTTTTGTTATTTAAAAATTGTTATTAAAGTTGAATTATAATTGAGTTATATAATAATAAGTCAGAGTTGTAACAACTGAGATGTGAGTTGTAACAACTGAGATGTGAGTTGTAATAACTGAGATGTGAGTTGTAACAACTGAGATGCGAGTTGTAACAACTGAGAGATGAGTTGTAACAATTGAGATGTGAGTTGTAACAACTGAGATGTAAGTTGTAACAACTGAGAACAGATGTGGAGTACAATAAAATAAGATATTGTACTGTAACGTCTATTATTAGTTTTTGAAAAATTAGTTTCTTATCGCTACCCAATTTTTCTTGGTAGGTAGTTCTTGAATAGGTCAACTGAGTCAGCTCTATTTTCTCATCTGTCAAGTTCTTCAATGGGTTAGTTACTCTGTTAGATAGAAGATAAAATTAAATATATTCTTGCTTTTACAAAAGAGCATATATTAAGAGCATATTAAAAACTTTCATTTTTTTGATTGTGCTCAATTTTATATTTTATTGCTCCTTTATGTCGAAAAAAATGTAGTCATCGAACCACAGATCAGTGAAGGATCCAGCATTTTTTGGTGTTTGAGATAGCTAAAAGACATGGCACAAACTCGAAACATTTGTTTATTTATACTTATGTCAAATAATGATGCTTTGCAAAATAATGCGCTGACTGGAGGCTGGAAACTAAAAAAGCCCTAGAATTTTATCCCGCCCCCCAGCCCCAAACGTGAGAGCAACAAGTTGGTAAAATAAATTTTTTTCAAATTCTCAACTTTGTTTATATTTTTTGATAAATGTTAAGTTTCATAGTAATATCTCTTAGAGTTCATAAATTATAACCATGTAAAGTTTAAACCTCCCTCACTTTGAGGGGTTTACAAGTTTTATATAGTCATAATTTTTGAACGATTTAAAATTTATCAATGAATATAAATTTATTTAAGAATAGCAAAAAAAATTATTTCATCAACTTGTTACTTTCACGTTTGGGGCACGGGGATTACATTTTGAATCAAATTTCAATTTATCAAAACCAATCAAAAACTAGAAAGCGTTGAAGCAGTCGCCGTAGCTAGCTCCTTAAATCCACTCCTTCTTTTTTTGATGTTTTTTTTGTGAGTTCTGATATATTGTTAGCAACTTTGAAAGATTTTAAAAATTTTGGAATTCATTGTACCCAAAAAGTCTGAGAAAGTTTCATCCGTAGGCATTTTTCAAACTATAACTCAAGACCTAGTGTCTGGTCTTTATGAACAAAAACTGCTTTGAAAAGGATTTCAGTTTTGATTTTATCCGTTTTTACATTTTTTCGGGCCTCCCTTTGTTTTTGAATACAGAACTTTTTACCATTTTTATATTGTGATCTCGGTCAAAAGAAGCTAACGCAAGCACCAAACACCTCTATGGTTTTACCATGATTTGAATTTCACCTCTGCAGCAAACTCAATATACATCTGCCAACAGTCTTGTTGATCATAAAAGTGTAAGTTAAAAACAATACAATGAAAATTAAATAAAGGTTTAAAATAGGGCCTTGCGAATCATCTTTTTTAGTTTCGAATCAAATCACGATTCGAAGCAGGCCTTGATTTACAAATCGAATTGAATCACGAGCCCAATCAGCATTTTAAGGAAATCTAAGTTTAACTAAAATATAGATATCCTCAAAATGCTAATTCAAAATTCGATTCGATTTGCGAATTAATGTCTGCTTCAATTCGTGATTCGATTTGATATGATAAAAAAAGGTTTGCAGGGCCCTAGTTTAAAATGACATTGCTAAATACTTATTACATTTACTTTTGACAAGATAAAATTAAAAAGCTATTTTTATTATATTTTATTGATTTAAAAAAAGTCATTAGAAAAAAAAATTGTTTCTTAAGTAATAAGTAATAACTTCTTGACTGGAAATATGGCCAGAAAACTATCAATTGACGTCATATTCTTGGATTTTGCCAAAGCATTTGACAAAGTGCCACATCAACGAATGCTTTACAAACTCAAACAAATGGACTTGTAGTCTAACTTTTTCAGTTTATCTATTATTTTTGTGGCTTTGCGTTGTATTAGCCCAATAGTTTGTTCATCATTCACCAAATAAGAGTTCCAAGCTGGAATTGCAAACTCAAGTAAAGGACGGATATAGGTGGAGTAGAGTTGTTTCCATAAAGAAGCATCACGAGATTGGAAAGTATGTTTTAGGATGCCTAGCATTTTATATTTGAAAAACAAAATGAATAAGTTTTTTTTTAAAAAAAAAAAGATATTTTAAAGTAAAGCTGTTTTATCTTTACTTCACTATTTTTTAACCTTTTATGCTTTTATGACATAAATAGTTTATTCCCGATTTTAACAGTTTAATTTACGGCTATGGCTATATGAAGCCCCACAAATTTAGGGGCCCCAAAAAATTTTAGAGGACCTTTTTTTTTTTTTTATTAGTCATTTTTAGGCTCTGGCCCATAAAAAGGCCTCCAAAAACAAAAATAGCCTCAGGCCCCAAGAAGTCTTAATCCGCCGCTGATGGCAGGAGGTTAACAAGAATAATGGTCGGCCAGGAAAGTTAGGAAAGTTAGAGCTTTGATAGTTCAAACAGTTGTTAAAAACTTATCAACTTTTAAGAGAATAATCCATTTCGATTACAGCTTTCAAAGGTTGCAAACTACATTTCAATATTTTCCTTTTTCAACACAAAGGCGTCATTTCGACTTCCCGCTGAAATAATTATTCTACTAAGACTGTAGCAAGACTTTAAAAGATTTTCGGCTTCGTTCTCCCTCCATTCAAGCAGATGGAAGTTTATCAAGCCGCAAACATCGAAGCAATTTCAAGTTCTCTCGGAAATATGTTTTCATTGTTAAAATTTGGTAATCTTATAAAAAAATAATTTTGATTTTTTTATAAGATGTTGATTTATACTGCAGTAGCACAATATAAAACAATTGAGAAATTATATAAATGAAACATTGGTGGAAAAATAATGCACACTATTCTACAAAAAAACTTAATATCAAATTCATATTAATATCAAATGTTAATATCATGTTAAAATCTTAATATCAAATGTTGACTTTTTTTTTTTCACGTTAAATGTTCTGCGTGTAATTTTCATTATATATATATATATATATATATATATATATATATATATATATATATATATATATATATATATATATATATATATATATATATATATATATATATATATATATATATATATATGTATATATATATATATATATATATATATATATATATATATATATATATATATATATATATATATATATATATATATATATATATATATCTGTGTATGTGCGTCTATGTATGTGTATATATATATATATATATATATATATATATATATATATATATATATATATATATATATATATATATATATTATATCATTTGTTAAAAATAAAAATGAAATGAAAAAATTCAAAAATCGACTAAATTGGACATGACTAATTCTTTATTATAAATAAATGTTTTGAATGTTTAGGGAAAAAATGGAACGTATTGCGATGCCGCTTAGACTCAGTAACGTACGAGGCCGATCAGTTTATTCTTGGGAC